AATCTCAGCATAAGATTTACCTTACCCACCCCCATGGCGCAAAGGTGCAGAGCTCCCAAAGGAAGATGGCCCCACTGCACCAGCAACGAATGTGTCGTAACAAAAGTCAGTGGTGTTAACACACCCAAAAGGTGCACTAGGCTAGTATGAACTGCAGTTACTATGTATCTGTGCCCTTATGATCTGAGTAGATTCTTATAGGAAAGGGCAAATACGAGTATGATAAAATGTAAATGCAGCTACCTGCTTATTTGCCGTTGTTCTGTGCCGTCAAGTTGTTTCCAATTTGAATGAGAGAGCTCCAAAATGTCCTGTCCTTAACAGCCCTGCTTAGCTCTCGTAGACTCGAGCCTGTGGCTTCCTTTAAGGAGTCAGTCCGTTTACTATTTAGTCTGCCTCTGGTTTCGCTGCTTTCCACCTTTCCCAGCATTGTTGCCTTCTCTAATTCTGCCTTCTCATGAAATGCCCAAAGTAGGACAACCTCAGTTTCATTTATTTTTTTACCTCCAGGGATAGTTCAGGCTTGATTTGATCTAGGACCTACTCACTTGTTTGTCTCTCCGGCAGTCCAGGGTATCCACAAAGCTCTCCTTCAGCATATTTCAAACGAACTGAAAAGATTGGATCATTCTTCGCTTAAAAACAAACTAGTATTTTTCTTCTCCAACTAACTGGCTCTTCAGATTAGATCCTGACTCTCATCTCTACGTGTGATCAGAACACTTGATCTAAAGACATTAATAACAAACTAACCACAGGAAAAGGCAATGGTCCTAATTCTGTGTAAGGGCAAGCTGCAAATGGATTCCTTAAAGGAGGCGCAGCAAAGGTGTAAAATATTTATCCAAGCCAAGTGTTACCTAGTGCAATATATAGCATTGTTAATAACCCAAACTGGCAACATGACAGCAAGGGGAGGAAACCATCTTTTTCCTAGCAGTGGAATTGACTCCAGGCTTTTCTGATAAAGCTTGCAGTTATTCTTCAAAACACTTTAGAAAATCAATGACAGTTCAGTGGGGTGAACAATTTCATTATTTTTTAAAAAAATCTAAATCTCAACAGGTAGAAGAGCAATTTATGCCTTAAAAAGAGCAGCAAGAAAAGATAGTTAACAGAGATCTCTGAAATGAATTCTATGACTAAATATGCTAAAATGCCCCCAAATCTTTGAAACTCTACCATTTACAGGAGTCATCAACAGAGAATGTATTGGTTGTCAATGCTGCGGTGTGGTTTCCATATCATACTAGATGTGGCATTAAGCCAAGACTCAATATGATTTAAATATCAAATGACTGGAGGGGATTTACTAATTTTTATTTTTTAGTAGTACCTCTTATCAAACAATTGTAGCTTCTTTGTGTGTTAAAGTCATAGTGTCTTGAGTGTTGCTAGGACACTTTTGCAAGACTGAAGACGGGAAAGTCAGTACAACTGCTGAGGAATGAGCACAAAATCAGATCCCTGAGCTGCTTATTAATGACTGAGTTCAGAATATGGAGTTCTGACTGCTGGTGGCCAAAAGGGAAATTGGAGAAAGAATCCATAGGATTACAGGTATGATAAGCAGTGGAAAATATATTTCTTACAAAATCCGAGAATTATAGAACCGAAAGAAGCCCAAAAGTAGTAGATGAAGGAAATCCATAGCTAGTATCTCCTTCAAGAGTCCAGCACAGGAGAATCCACCACCTTTTAAGCAGACTGTTACACTGTTGAACAGTTCTGCCTCTTAAGAAGTCCCCACACCAACTGTTCACCTACTTTGCACTGCAGCCTGCCCATTGCATCATTTATTCCATTTCCACCAGGCAAGGAAGGTACTTGTTAGATTTTACATTCTTGACAGAGTTTGATTTCCAACAGACATCAGGATCATTGGAATGTATTACTGTGTTATCTGTTTAAATGTTTGGTAATCTCTGGCCTACGGCGGCCTCATCTGAGTCTTCAGTCTGGCTTGGAGGTCTCCAATAATTCCCCACAATAATTTCACTGCTCTTTCCCTCTCCTACGACTTTTGTCCAAATGCTCTTCACTACTCTTCTTTCCCATCCTGCAGGCCACATCCAGCCCATGTTGCCGTTTTGTCTGGCCTGTTCCCTCCAGCCCATGCGGGGTGTGTGGGCGGGCAGGGGTGCATGTATGTGCGCGTGGGATGCATATGTGTGCAGAGGGCCAGGGAGGTACTGTATGTGCATGTGTCTGTTCAGGGCTTGGCCCTCAAAAACTTTGAAAAGATCTGTTGCGGCCCTCACTGTAAAAGGTTTGGAGCCCCCTGTTCTAAGTCACAGATCTTGTAGCAGGTTTACACATCCTTTACAGGCAATGTTATTCCCCTTCCCCTTTAACTTAGACTATTCCTTTGAATAACTTATTCTCTTCAATTATTATATTTCAATCAAGAATCTCATCCTACATTTCAGTAATGGTCTATTTCCTTTCCCTATCAAGAGCTCATTCCTCTTATTTAGTTCTGTGCAAACTATTCCCCCCAGCTGCTGCTTGTTTTTCCTTGCCTATGGACAAGCTCCTTTTTGTTCCTGTGAACTGGGAGTGGCTAAACTCTGTGGGAGCTGCAAAGGATTAGGGTACTGGTAGGTTTTTGACACCTATCCTCTACAGAGTCTAATGGATAAAGAGATTGTCCCGCCCCCTAATGTCTTGCAGCAGCCCCTCCATCTACTGCCATGAACTAGAAGCAGAGCACATGGCTACAGTCAAGGAAAGGGTCAAAAACACATAAGCAAACATCTGAACAGCTCAGGCAATCAGCCTCAATCTAAAAGGCACAAGCTCAGTCTGTTTCATCACCAGTCCCACACAAAACCTCCCTGTTCACTCGCTCACGCAGCAACTGAATGCAGCTATACAGAGGGTAGCTGTTGGCCTGCTTTTTAAAGTGCACATGAACAAGACATGTGTATCCATTTGTTTCTAGACCACCCACACAGAAACCACCACCATGTCATGTCATTTCTGAGCACCAATGTGCTTTCAGCAGCCTTAACTCTTGAACCTGGCCTAAGAAGAATCTGTCTCTTTTGCCATTCTGGTTCCTCAGAAATAGCCTCTGTATTTAATTTCTACTTTGGCCATCAGTGTCTTATTCATTCATTCATTCATTCATTCATTCATTCATTCATTTATTTATTTATTTGTTTGTTTGTTTATTTATTTATTTATACATACCCCGCCCCTCTAGACCATGTCTACTCAGGGCGGCTTACAACATAAAATCAATATATACTACTGTATTTTTTGCACCATAAGACTCACTTTTTTCCCACAAAACTGGGGTGTGGAAAGTCTGTGCGTCTTATGGAGCGAAGAAAACAGATTATATTTTCCTGTTTTCTTCTCCTAAAAAATTGGTGCGTCTTATGGAAAGGTGCGTCTTATGGAGCGAAAAATACGGTAATTAAAAATACAATTACTATATTAATTAAGACACTTAATTTAAGAAAAGGATTACCAAGATGGCATAAGATAAGGAAAGAAGAAATAAAAAGACTTAGCTGACTGGAGGGAAGGGAATTGTCTTGGATTCTGCTGAAAACAACCAGCACCCAAGAAACCACAAGTGAATGAGGATAAATCAGAATCTGAGGGACAACCCCTCTGCTGTTCTGCCACTAGACCACCACCATAAACCTGGCAATACATAAAACCCATAATGCACAGTAACTTAGAATCGAGCATCCGCAAAAATCTGCTATCTCTGTTGAAACTGCTTTCTTTCAGTTTGGCCCACCCTTCAGTTCCATGCTTCTCTAGCATAGTTTTTCCCAAGCCCTGTTTAGGCATTATCCATACCTTTAGTCACCACAGGCAGACTGTACAGCCTCACCCCTTTGCTTCTAGTTTTGTCACAGTCCCACACATGGAGTCAGAAGATTAAGAGCCTCTACTAAACTGATAGGTAACACCTTCAGTAAGGGGTTCATTCATTGGCTAAATGTGTTCTTTCTCCTACAGATATGAACAAGACAAAGATAATTTTGTCTTCATAAAATGATCTAATCTAACAAAGCAGATATAGCCCATGGAGGTGGTTGGTTGGCAAGAAAAACGGGTATAATGGGCAAAGAGTGGTTTGATAGAGTGGGGAAAATAAAAGTTTTACCTAGAATTTAGACACAATGTACTATCTGGATGTAGTACCTAACTTGCCCAATGACTTAATTCCATACTCCCTCCTAGCAGCACACAACCATACAATGGTTTTTCCACAACCCTAATTTTTCCAATGATCCTGTAATATAACAACCTGAAAATGATGGCTCACTAGGTAAAGAGAGTAGCACCTCCAGTGCCTAAAATCTGCCACCTCCATGTTTCTAGAAATATCAGTGATATAGTTTCAAGAGCTGGAAACAAAGGGAGAAGGATCCCATCTTACAAGGCATTAAAACTTAGAACACCCAAGAGCCCTACAATGCCAGGATGGAGTTACTGCTGACCTACTCTTGGACACTCTACAATTGTAGATGGCCAGGATCAACTCATTAAGGCTTGGCAAGTATTTTTTTAAAAGGGTATCTGAGCTAAAGGTTGTGGAAACTGTTTTTTAAACATCCATGCTTAAATCATTTTTCAAAAGCAGTACTTGATCTCACGGTAGCACTTACAGAATGTCATTTAGGCATGGCAGCAGTGTGTCTAAAAGGATCTAAAATATACATCATGAATGAGCTGCAATGTACTCAACATGACTTCCTTGCTCTTTGAATAGCAACCTTCACATTAAATAGCAACCTTCATTATTTTAAGGTGCCATTTTTGGGAGGGCAGGTAGAGGCACACAAGACAGTTCTTATCTTTGTGACTCCTATAATTTTGTGCTCATTCTGTACTGGTTCAAAGCCACCTCATAAAGTTTGATAACTCGAAACCAACAGAACACTCATTCCAGCCTATTTTAACTAGAACTGTTTTCAATGGATTCAGCAAATGACGGAGGTTAAGACCCAGACACATTATCACATAGCAAACATCTATTATTTATTAATAAATTAGTATATTAGAAGGCAAGTTTTTCCAAAGTTATACCCCACCCCCTTGGCCCCCGGCAATCGAAGGCAGAACATGCCACCTTCCAGTATCATCTCCAAAATAAGCATTAATGTAGACTGGTGTATTCCTGGAGCATTGTAGTTGCAAATATAATAGAGGCAGGTTTCTTATAATGCAGCATTTTAATAAAAAGTGAAGTGTGTTTGGAGGAAGGAAATGCTAAGACTAAGTGAGGTCTCCGAAATATATCTATTGACCACATTAGTATAAAAATCCACACACACACACACTCACGCACACACAAAGACTATTTTGAAGCATAGGATCAGTCAATCTTATAGAACGAGAAACGTGGCACCACCAGGGTTTTGGTTCACTTTCCAGAGTCCAGCTCCAGGTGCTACTCCAAACTGACCAAAATTACCAAGCTTGCTGAGATCCTAAAATGGCAAGGCAAAATACTCCCCTTGTGTTGAGTATACAGAATTACATTCAGCTGTAGGCCAAAACGTCTTATTGTCTTGAAGGCTGGAGAAATTACACTTAAAATGCCTCTGCTTTATAGCTGTAGAGCAGCACAAGTCACCAACCACTCTTTGCTTTGTCCGGGGGGAATCATACAATAAATAGCTGTGCTACTAAAATGTCAATAAATGTGAATCATTCAGCAGTAGTTGTTTTTCAACATCCTCTTCAGAAAAAGCTGATCGTACTCACAACACATAATGGAGAATATAAATTTTTAAAATACCTGAAAGGCGGGTCAGGGGGCTGTCAAGTTGAAGTTAAAAACAACAACACAAAATTGATCTGATCAATCTGAATTAACATTTAAGTACAAATCCAAACTCACCATGTAAAAGTCGAACAGAAGATCTGTTTTTTAGGCATTTAAAGTGAAAGATCTAAATTAGAAATTGAAATGTTGAAATGAAGAGAAGAGGATCATTTAATTCGAATGATGAACAAGAAAGGGTGCCAAGGCTTGAAAATTGCCCCCTCCCCTTTAAAAAAAAAGTCAAACCTAGAAGGAAATACTGGCTACAAGTTCTACTAAATATCCAGCCTGTGCCTTATTTTTACCAAGTGCCAAGCTAGTACAAGCAGCAGCCAGAGCATGAGTGATGAGAACATTTGGTGACCATGGTCTAAAGTAGGTCAGGTAGGTGGCTATAGACTGAATCCAGGAGTGTTTGGCTTGCTTCCTGGCTTTTGATGCCAGCAATTTCAAAAAGTCTATCCAGCTTATCCTCTGCTTGTGGAATCTCTTCAATCGCATGCAGCTCCTCTGGGTTCAGAATGTGAAGCATGTCATCAAAGATGGGCTGCAGATCGCATGGGTCCAGGCGAACCTGGCGCAGCACTGTGTCTTTCTTTTCTGAAAAAGGAAGGTATTTTCCTGTTAATTGAAGACTTGAAACGGTCTGACATTCTTCATAATTTTTGAGATTTTTCAAACTAAAGCCTCAATGGAGAACTAGACTATGGATTACACTCATTCAGATCATCCACTCCTTGTGGCAAGTCTACCCATTTCATCCATTAACACCCCATTTAAATCCTGCCATAATGTAATGGATGTCCCCATTCTGTTACCAAATGGCACACCATGGAGGTAAGGGAACTCAATATGATGGGCAGATTCAGATGGGAGGTCAGGTAATGTCACACAAAATAAGGGATGTTCTTGTGCTGTCATACAAGATAAGGGACGCCCTGGTAGGAAGAAGCGGGAATCACCAGTGGGACACGGATCCCAATGTAATACCTAATCCTGGCCAGCAGAACCAGTCTAAATGTTACATCCACTGCTATGGTTACAAAACTATTCATACAGCAGATCACTCAAAGCATCGTAATGTCACATAAGTATAGCTACATAAATGCTAGTTGTAGCTTTTGTAAGTTGTCATTTCTGTATGGGCAGAATTTCCTGTTCACAAGGTGCCACCTGGAGAACACCTACATGATGTTCCACTCCTTATATCACTGGACCATCTCTTTCAGCAATGACTATCACAAATCAGTAACTGAATGGAAAAACTGACCTGGGGAAATCATCCACTTAAGAGCTGGATGTAAGGGGTTCTGGAAAAGGGGGAAATTCCATTAAGACACTTTAAAGAGGAAGTGAGTGCCTGGGTCATCTATACATATTCCTCAGGAATGAAGGGTCCATTTGTAAGACCACCGATGAACAGCTGTATCTTTCCTATTGAGCATTATGTTTCCTAACAAATTACAGTATATTGCAGGGGTTCTATGACAAGTGGTCGGCCAATGTCCATGTCATAAGACACAACCACAAGTCACCATTCTTACTGCTTGAGCTGCGACTAATACAGGTCCAGATAGAAAATAGCAGGCAAGTCATGTGCCCAAAGATGATATGATCTCAACGCCTTCCATTGCAAGGACATTATATGCATGGCACATGTTGAGTGCCAAAAAGTCTCTCCCACCAATCATTTTTCTGAAAATGAGCCTAAGTGAGAAAGGCCTGGTATGGTACGGCATCTAACATGTTAGACCAAGGAGACCCACACAGAAATTTCTCTTTAACTAAGGGGAGAACAACTATCCAGTCATCTTCCCTAAGTAACCTGTCTTTTTTTGAAAAAAACAGAGTGGACCTCCATTTTGTATTCCTAATACAATCTTGCTGTTCCTCTTTCAATAGAATAGAAGTAGCTCTAAGAACAACTGGTTGCTCATTGGCAAAATCATACCTTTGGTAATAAAGGAGCCTGTTCGGCTAAGAGCAGAAGAGCCACTGGACGTGGAATCACAGCGCAGAAGAGGTTCCGACTCATCCGCAAAGAAGCACTTGTTCTTCTCTAAGGGTGAGGGGTCCACAGGGATGATGGCCGAGTCTGGATTTGGATTTGGACTGGGAGCGGGACTAAGTGGAGCAGAATTTACAGGAAGATCCAACTTGTCAGCTTCAAGCTAAAAGACAAAGATGCAAAATGCATTAGGACAGGAGCAATGAACAGAATTAGCTTTTGGAAGGCAGGCAGCCTTCAGGGGACTGGCCTTCAGGGGACTCTCATTTGATTGGCAACAGTTATGGACTGTCTAGCCCCTCCTCCTCCTTCTGGAAATTATGAGGAATTAACATGAAGAATTTGTTAGCTCTCCCTTCCAAACTCCCCTCTCCACAACTGAACACAAGAAAAAGAGGGAAACACCGCTGCTCTTTCTTTCTTCACTTTGTTCAGTCAGGCAAGAGGCACAGAGATTTTTTTTGTACAGAATGAGGATGACTTCATAGAATGTTCACTGATATTAATACTGATAGTGAGTCTCAGTGCTGTCTGCCAAGCCATGACTTTCAATCCTCATTTGTATTGTGTTCCCCAGGGACAGGGGAGATCACCTGGCGCATGTGTGGCTGAGGAGACTACATGCCCTGCCACTCGCACCACGTAGAACAAACTGCATGGCACCTGAGCACCATCCGAGGGAGGGACTGGTCCACGACTTCTCAGTGTTTTATGCCTAGAAAACACTAAGAAGAGGCACCACTGATCGAAATTGACTTGACAAGACATTTTTTTTAAAAAAGGAAGTCTACCAGTCTATAACCAGAATTAAAAGTCCAATGTTGGCTCAGATGCTGTAAAACCAGGAAGCTGGAAAGGAAGAGACATTCAGGTGATCAGCAGTGTTGTGCAACTGCCTTCACTTCCATTTCTTGGCTTTGTGTCATGAGAGCCAGCATGAAAGCTTTAACTCTGGTCTCCATCACATATTCTGATGTTGGATTTCTTAGGCAAGTAAAAGGGTGTGTGTGTGTGTTAAAAAATGCAACTGCTCAAGCAAACTGGATTATGCAGGGAGAGGCAGGGCTGAATGACACAGCAACAGCATCTGGTAACTGAAGATGCTAATAAAATGCCAACAGGACAGCAATGCACAATTGTATGGCTACTCCTAGTAAGCAGACTATGTACACCCTACATTTTGGCTGCCTAAATCAAGATTTTGGTTACCAAGGCAAACATATTTGGAGACCTCTCTTGAGTTTGTGGGTAGAATAGACAGGAACAGAGGATGCCACATAAAAATATTCTGCATATGCTCAGGTGTGTTCACAAAATATATCTGGCTCACTGATGCGGTCGATTACTACTGATCCTCAGTATTGTAGTTGATCAGTGTCCTCTGGCTATCATTCTTGATTAACCTTGTCCAATCCAGCAAAACAATTCATGGTGTTTGATGCATAAATGAATGCCATTTTTCTCTGTGAATGCCATGGTTTTTAATATCAGTAGGACAACCTGGTGTGTTTAAAAAACTCTCATTCAACATGAATGGGGCCATGTTCAATTTCTTTGATATCAATGATTAATTAAAGAAATTTATCCAGCTTTTTCTACTCACATTGCAAGCCCTTCCCATGCACACAGAGTAGCTTCCTTTCAGGTGAGATAAAATTACTATTATCTATATTTTCTCTTGCATACAGTAGTACCTCGGTTTGCAAAATGGATCCCTTCTACACGATGTTACGTAGTAGAGAAATTTCACAAATCAAAACTCCAATTGCGCTACAAAAGGGGCAATGCGCCCTGGGAAAACCCTTTCGTAGTGCGAAAAAAAGAAAAGAAAATAACATAAACCAAGGCTTTATTTCTTATGGATTTTGGTTCGTAAACCGAAAATTACGTAAACTGAGATGTTTGCAAACTGTACTTCCTGTTGATTTGTATTTCTGCACTGAGCAGGAGGTTGGACTCGATGCCCTTATAGGCCCCTTCCAACTTCATGATTCTATGAATCTATCTCTAGGCCTCTTCTATACAACCATAAAACATTACATAGCCTTACATATCATTCAAACAAGAAATCCCACTTTGCAAATGTTAAGGCTCTGGAAAAGCAACATAAATTTTTGTGCACTACTAAAGTCTGAGAAAAGGTATACCAATTTTTAATTTGATTTGATTTTTAAAAATGCTATGAGCCATGTTGTGGGTTTTTTAAAAACTGAAAATTAGCAGAGAGAAAAAGACATTATTATGAGAATTATAATGTATGAGTATTTTGAGGAGCAGTCTCTAGCAGAGGCCCTGTATATCCTCATGGAATCAACTGCAAACCCTGAATGCAATTTCAGGAAAGCTGATACTTATTCACGTACCAACACTTACAACATCTGCCTACAACATCTGTTCTGACCTCCTTGATGCCTCCCCCCCTTCTACTACCTAGTTAATCAAAACATTCAGAAGATCTTGAAAGAACTGCACACTTCTGTGGTATTTTAGTTGGTCCTAATACAGCCACTGCCTGCCTATGGATTTTGGTTTGGTTTTGGTTTCCACAGAGCCACACAGCCACCTTGGTTTTTGCACCTTCTATTTGTATTTTGTTTAAAAAGGGGCACACTGCAACTAGACTCAAAGTTAAATGGTGAAAATACTTGCCCTGGCAGAGGCTGGGAAGATTGGCAAAGACCGGCACAAACCTTTTGGGAACTCTTCAGTCAACAAACTGCCAAGGATCTGACATCCAAGTTCTTTGACATCTGTTCTATTTCAGACTGGCCTCAGTGCTGACTCATTTGCCTTGCTTAGAGGAAAAAGGCAAGGAGTAGGGAGAATGTTCTGGAAGAAAACACACCCCCCTTTAAATTCTCCCCCACCGCCTTCAGCTGGCTAATTCAATGTACGAGTTGCAGAAAGCAGCTCTCATGTGAACTCCCAAGTGAACTCAACTCGGCACATAAGCCAGCTCCCATATGCAGACAGAGAGAGAGAGAGAGAGAGACCGAGACGGACAGCTGTCTGGGTGTTAAATGTTCTACAGCCACACTTTCTCTTCTCCTTTTTGAGAATTGACACTTACAAATTGCCCTGTACCTCAGTACAAATAATGGAATCCTACAGACTACAAATCTGGCAGAATGAGGTGAAAAGACAGGCAGCTGAGTGCAGAACAGAATTACATCTCCCACAGATTTACAAAACTGGCCCAACAATATGTGGGCTAGGCTCTGTGCCATACTGGCTGGTACAATATTTTCCACGGACTGGTGGTAGATTTCCAAAGTCTCAGGCAGCAGTCCTTCTTTTAACTGAAGACAACAAAGAGCACTCAGCTTTGCCTAGGTTAGAAACCTGTTATTCCCATCTGTAACTTGGTGGCCTCTCCCTACCCTCTTTTTCTTTGATGTTGGACTTTCTCTCCATCCACCTGTATATATTCAAGGCTTTCTCTCTCTAAAATCTCTTTCCAAAACCATCTATTACCAGACAGCTCCTGGGAACAAGGGAGGAAAGACAGGAGCAACTGTCCCCCCCACCCCCACCCCTAGACCAGACTAGGGTTGGCTTGTTTGATCTCCAAAATGATCAAACAAATTTGAACCAAGATGCCTGTGTAACTGGGACCCCACAAGAATCATGAATCAAAATTGTACTGCAAACAACAAGGGCTGTAAGTAAAATAAGGCTGCAATTAATTCTTTTCCATGTGCACTTGGCCCATGAAACACAACAAAAAAGCACTTCTAAACAGTATGCTTTTCTGAATCCCTAACTTACCCTCTTCAAACTGAAGATGAAATTCTGTGCTAGGCTGTAAGCCACCTTGGGTTCTTTTTAAGGAGAAAGGTGGGATAAAAATATTTTAATAAATAAATAAACAAATAGTTTGGAGGTTTCCTGGGCCGTAAAGTTCTGAGCTGCCACATACTAGACTGTTCTTAAAAGTTTTATATAGGTTGTAGTCAATACAATTCCTTCCCTACATTATCAACCCTTCTCCAAACCTAAAGATCCAACGTGCTACAACCCAGTGGTACGTGAAAACAACACTCAGTGTCCTGGTTATCAGCAGCATTCCCCAACTTACTTGAAATACTGTGGGAACCTAGTGATATAAGGACGTGTCACTGGAGACTAAGACCAAGATCATCCACACTTTATACTGTTGATCACCCTGTACGGGTGCAGAAGTTGGAAAGTTAAGAAGCCTGACAGGAAAAGCAATGATTTGTTTGAAATGTGGTGCTGGAGGAGAGCTCTGTGGATACCATGGACTGTCAGAAAGATGAACCAGTGGGTCCTATATCAAATCAAGCCTGACCTGTCTCTGGAGGCAAAAAGTTTGAAACCGAAGCTATCATTTCGGACATAATAAGGCAGGAATTCTCTGAAAAATACCATAATGCTGGGAAAGGTGGAGGGCATCAGGAAAAGCAGAAGACAAAAGACAAAATGAACTGATCCTCTAGAGCACAGGTGTCAAAAACAAGGCCCGCGGGCCAAATCCGGCCCGCCAGACCTCGTCTGATGGCCCGCGGAGCCGCTGCCAGCCTTGCAGCCTCCCCCCCCTTTTTTTTCAATGCGGGCGACATTCCTTGGCAGCAGCTTTTCCGCCTCCGCAGGGAGGTTGAAGGGAAGTGGGGTGGGAATCTCTCTCTCTCTCTCTCTCTCTCTCTCTCTCTCTCTCTCTCTCTCTCACACACACACACACACACACACACACACACACA